TGATCATTTGAATTCGTTGAGTATTAACGATGATTTCTGTAACATTAAGCTGTTTTCACTTTTATAGGTCTATTTTTTGCTTCTCACAGTGAAAACTGCATCTGAACTGATTACATTAGTTCTGTGAAATCACTGTTTCACTGTTAAATTAATGTTGGTTAAATAAATAATCAGTTTTCCTCTTTTATGTTTGAAAGAAAAGGTTATTTTATTAAAATCAGTATCTAAGCTACACATAATAAACACACATTGTGCCGTAACAACACATCAGTGTGTTGATTATCCTAAACCAGCTGGAGTGTAAAAGCGGAGAAACACATTAGCTGAGTGTGAATGAACACTCGGGGCTCTGAGCTCAGTCGGTAAAGGGGATGAAATCCTACACAATATGTGTGATATTTAACTCCTCTCTGTCAGAGTGTAGTGATGATATGAGTGACTGAAGAAAAGCAGCACCGAATATGGAGTTTCATTATTAATGTGCTGATCAGAGAAAACAGAGCAGAAAGACCAGCTCTGGGGTTTTGGGCTGAGGGCGGTTTGGCATCGATGGAGCTTGGTCGCCACCGTGTGGGCAGAATGTGAACCTGCAAGTAGCAGAATAAGAGATACTTTGGTAAAATGTGTAAATATTGAGTTACTGAGTGACTTCCTGAGTTACTGTGTTTGAGAGGCTCCGTAAATAAAATGGGAATAAAATGACAATAATTTTATAGTAATTATTACAACTAAACCACATCATTAATAAAGTAGATCAGCATTTACAGTAAGGAGTCTGATGGTCTTTCTCAGACTTGCCAGTTGACGGTTTGACCACAGGATGGCGCCCGAGCTTCATCAGTGACGTTCATGAGAGCTTTATTTCCTACAAAAACATTTCATATGTAGCACTGCACTGTATAGATAACACACACACACACACACACACACACACACTCACACACACACACACACACTCATTCGTGTTCATGTGTTTTATCATTCTATTATTCTTACAGACTTTCTTTCTTTCTTTTGTGTCAGGTCGATATTATTGGATGTCTTTTATTATGATAGGTAAATAGTCCTTTGGGGGCTTTTACTGTGGTGGTCCTCCCATCCCCGTAGTTCTCCCTCTAGTCTGGTCGGCGTGTCTCTGTTGGTGTTGGTGCTGTGTGTTGTGACCCGCTAAGACAGCAGCTGGATCTCTGTGTTTGTTGCTGTTCTGGACGGATTAAGGTGGAAAGTCTTTATTGTGTCTTTAGTTCAGTGGATGGTCGGATCTGCCTGAAGGTTTGGTGTCTGTTCCAGTCATTGAGTAGGGTGTTCCTCCTTTCCTCTTTACTGGGTGGGCCCTAATCTCCTCCTACAGGAGGCGGGTTTGTGGGTTTGAAGTTTGATTGGTGCCTTTTGTAGTTTTTATTGGTCTCCTGAAGTTGGAAAGATGAGGGGTTTTGATGGTTTGTGTTTAGAGCTGCTTCATACTGGCTAGTTTAAAGGGTCTGTATGCAGATGGAGCACTGAAGCTTTACTGTTTCAGCTGTTTGTTCCGGTGGGTCTGTACTGGACCCTGGATTGGGTGGCTGCTTTGTGGTGAAGGCCTGTGTGGTTATGCTGTTCACCACTGAGGGTGTGGAGCTGCTGTTTCCAGCTGAATAAGGGTCTCCCATCATAAGGGCTCTCCCATCATAAGGGCCTCCCATCATAAGGGTCTCCCATCATAAGGGTGATCATTAAATGGAAGATTTTGTGATATATAATTTTGTATTATGATATATTTTTTTTTTCTTTTTGTCCAGAAACAGGGTCTCAAGTCATCCTGCTGTTTTACCTGTTTTTTTTTAATCTGTTTCCTTTCTTTTTGTTTAATGTTTGTTTGTTTGTTTCTTCTTTAAGGTTCTAAGTGTTGTTTCATCTCGAGGTTGTATTTGAACTGTATAACTTCATTTAGTTGAATTTTTCTTTATTTTAATATTTGTCTCTTCTTTTTCTTCCAGGCTAGGCCAGGTGATCAGTGGCTTGCAGTGGGTGGCTGTAGCCTAGACGCCTCATCACTGCCCTGGGGTTCTTTAGAGTTGTGTAATTGATTTTTTTTTTATTATTTTATTTTTTTTTTTTTCTTTGCTTCACTTTGTGTGATTTTAATTGTGCATGTTTGGAGTGACACCTAATTTATGAGGTGGTAGAGCTCTTAATCTCCCCCCCAGGCAGCCACCAACACTTGAGCCCCGCCCTTAGCTGATGCTGGTCAGTGTAGTTTTTTCTTTGTTTTAATAAAGGAGTAAAGTTGATTCTACTTCTTTTTTATAAGATTATTCTTTTCCACTTTTGATGTTTAAAGCGAGACCTGTTGTTTGTGGAAATGAAGCTTGAAGAAAGACTTTCTTCTGTCCTTTGGTTTAAATGATCAATTAGATATTTTTATTGAGGCTCGTTCTTGTTTCATATATAAAAAAGAGAAAGTATATAAATAAGTTTGCGCCACAGGTTGTTTTGGTCACTCTTTGCTTTGGTCACTCTTTTGGTCACACTTTCTTTCATTTCTCTCGGTTCTTTTTTTCTTATTTACGTTGGACAATTTTTGACGTTTTGTCTTTTAATGACATGAGATTTAAAAGGCTGTGGAACACTGATAATGACGGTGGAGCCCTGAGGACGTTTCTGTGGGCTGTGCTTGAATTGTTGTTTTTGTTTGTTTTTGTTTGGTAAAGGTGTTTGTGTTAAAAAGTTTCATAAAAGTGTTGATTTTAAATATGTTTTTCAGAGTTAAATCGTATTTGATTTGCTGAATCTAGTTGCCAATCATTGTTAGGTTTTGTCCTCGCCTGTTCATTGGCTCGATGTCTGAGGGGGCGGGGACTGCGTGAGGAGAGAGGGGAGAGAGAGAGAGAGAGAGAGAGAGAGAGAAGGGGCGCGGGGGGGCGGAAGTGCAGCGCAGGTGCTCCGTGCTGGGCTGTGACGTGAAGCCGTTATATTTATATTTCTTTGTCCAGTCGGAAGTTCGAGGTTGTCGAGCTGAGAACTTTTACTGGCCGACACGACGGAAGATCACGAGCCCCGAGAAACTCCCCCTCGAAATGTAAGTGATTTGTTTGTGGGGGAGGTGCTAATAAATATATCAGCTAATAGAACTTCCAGTCACTTGTTTTCCTCTATTTCTGATTATTCCTGTGTGCACACTGTTGAGTGGGTTCTTGTGCATTAATAGAGTACTAAATTTGTAAGGGGGGTCATAGCTGAGCTGTGATACCACAGGGAGAGGTCATCATTCCATTACAGTGGTGGTTACTTAAAGGTGTAAATCAGTAGCTTACTAACCGCTCACACTTACAATTAGCAGTCAGCGCGAAGAGCTCAGCTCACTCCTAAAGCGAGGTAATGGCCTGAGGGAGAAGACCGGAGCCCTAAAGTGGGGGGGGGAACTGGGGGGCGGAGTCTGTCAATCATTTTTTGCATCAACCAATTAAATAACTACTCTTGGCCGTCAATCACATTTTGCATTGGCCAACCGCAGATTAGAACGAGCTGTCCGTCATTTCTTGCATTAGCCAATCTGAGGGTCAGGCTGCAGACCTGCACTCTCAGCCTGACCTGCACTCTCAGACTGACCTGCACCGCCAGCCGTTAGCTCCGCTCTGACCCGACAGGGCTTTTGTTGGGTTTATGAGGAAAAACAGTGAAACACGAACTGTTGGGCAACAGGAGTCACACTGAATGTATATTAACGTTGTCATACTGATTATGAGGTAATTAAATATGGAAACTTTCAAAATAAAACCTACCACGACGATAAAGCATAATGTCAGGTTCATTCGCAGAAAAAAACAAACAGGCTACTGAAACTCATGAAAGCCATGCTGAAGTCGATCAGAACCGTAAGGAATAAAACCTGATGGTTTTGCTTCCTAACGGGAATTGGCTTGATGGTTGCCTTTAGAGACCTTTAGGAAACGATCAACTGCATATGGAATCAGTCCCGGAACAGTTTAAACGATCGGAATCCTTTACACTGTGATATTAACCCATCAGGAAAACACAGAAGACCATTAGCGACTATTGGACACCACCAGAAACCAACAGACACTTTTAATAGGTTCTATAACTTTTTTCAACAGGGAGGTATTAAATGTCTCTCTAGTCTTGTTATGGACGGAAAATGGATTAAGTGATGAAATCGCTAAGCAGAAGCGGCCAAACGGTCCCGTGTAATCTGGAAGTTGTGAGAAGGGGAAATTCTGCAGACCAGAGACCTAAAATTATCATAAGCACAAAACACTGAAGGCAAACAGTTTCCATTAGGAACCAAGTGGAATAACTTTTTGAGAACAAGCAAAGTTTAGGTGGAAACAGTGTTTGTATAAACTCAGAAAAAGACACGCCAGTCAGAACTGCATATGTGCACAAATTTCTATATTGTGGTCATGTATTTACCCACAAAGTCAGCAAGAACATGCGCTATCAGTTCACTAATACTTTTATGTGCGATGGTCAGTCAGTGTTTGCATGAACTCCATCCTGCTTAAACAATAGTTATAATAATGTATTGATCTGAAATAAAAAATTGGGTGATATTTAAGGCAACTTCCCATCTTCCATCTTCCGCGTGCCTGAACAGTATGTAACGCCTTTTTGCACTTTCCTTCAAACCATTGGCTGATGCATAAAATGAGAGACCGGTAATTCACATTTGTGATTGGCCAATGCAAGTTTTGATTGACAGTCCATCTCTGTTATATGATTGGCCGATACAAGAAATGATTGACAGTGTCTCCGCCCATTCAGTACGCCCACTGGTTCTCCGGGCTGCAGATACATATATTTGGCATGAGGGGGCGCTACAGTGGTAACAGTAATACTGATCGTTTCATGGTAGTTTTTGCTTTGCGTGTTTTCTCTGTAGTGTCTGTAGTGTGTAGCTCCGCCTCCCGTCCCTTGGTTTCAACTAGGTCCTGTAAAGGAGCATAACAGGCGCGTTCAGCGGCGTAGTGCTTCATTCGTTCTGTGAGTTTCGACTTGAAGAGGAAGTAGCGACCGTGTCTGGAAGAGGAAAGGGCGGTAAAGGTCTCGGTAAAGGAGGTGCTAAGCGTCACCGCAAAGTGCTTCGCGATAACATCCAGGGCATCACGAAGCCGGCTATCCGCCGTCTGGCTCGCCGTGGCGGCGTCAAGCGTATTTTGGGTTTGATCTACGAGGAGACCCGCGGTGTGCTCAAGGTGTTTCTGGAGAACGTGATCAGGGACGCCGTCACCTACACCGAGCACGCTAAGAGAAAGACTGTCACCGCCATGGATGTGGTTTACGCTCTGAAGCGTCAGGGCCGAACCCTGTACGGCTTCGGAGGTTAAACGATCGACTCGAACAACGCTAAATGCTAAACCCAACGGCTCTTTTAAGAGCCCCCCACACGCCCACCAGAAGAGTTGCTCCTTATGATTCATTTAGTGTTGATGGAAACGTCCGCTTGTCTGTTTTTCCTTTATGAAGAACGTGATGGTGACCTTAATCTACTACTGGAGAGAGCAGCAGTAGAGAGTGATGGAGAGTGTTTTATATTTAGATTGTGCCGCTTCTGAATCCTGAAATCGTTTAGTCAGTAAAGTCGTTCTTGTTCATCGTCAAAGCATCGCAAGTTCGCCTTTTGCAGCAGAAACGGTCAAACGCCAGCGCTGTTCTCCAGCAGAACCAGATCAAGAGCCCTTAGAAGAAGCTTCTATGCGTTACATGGATCTGTTTAACTCTGAAACACGGAATGAGTATTGGAGAAATAGTTTTTAAATAAAGTTCAGTTTTCTAAGTAAGAGGTGTTTTTTTTTGTTGTTTGTTTTTTTAAATCAAGACCATCCAACAGCAGTTTGAGAACTAAAATACACAAAAACATGATTTATGAAAACTTGTTAAAATGGAAATGTCTGCTTTGGCAGAACTCAAAACCTCTCAAAAGTGTGTTGACACTGTTTTATGAAATAGAACAATAAAAAAAAACGTGCTTATATTTGGACAAATGTGCTGTAGAGGACACACAGTACCTAAGAATGCGCGGGAAGGCGAACAAAGGGAAAGTCTTTAGCGAGGAGGAGGAGGAGGAGAGAGTTGTCCGTCACGCGAGCCGTTGATTGTTGTCCAATGACCGTTTGACAGCACTGTGAAGGCGGAGCTTGGTCTGTTTTGAATATGGGAGTGTAGATAAGCCGGTGCCGGGCGCTCCTCCTTATTCTTCAGACTTACTAGAAGAGGAGAGTCATGCCTGAACCTGCCAAGTCTGCACCGAAGAAGGGCTCTAAAAAAGCCGTGACTAAGACGGCTGGTAAAGGAGGTAAGAAGCGTAGAAAGTCCAGGAGGGAGAGTTACGCTATCTACGTGTACAAGGTGCTGAAGCAGGTGCACCCCGACACCGGCATTTCCTCCAAGGCGATGGGCATCATGAACTCGTTCGTCAACGACATCTTCGAGCGCATCGCCGGTGAGTCGTCCCGTTTGGCTCATTACAACAAGCGCTCCACCATCACGTCCAGGGAGATCCAGACCGCCGTGCGCCTGCTTCTTCCCGGAGAGCTGGCCAAGCACGCCGTGTCCGAGGGCACCAAGGCCGTCACTAAGTACACGAGCTCCAAGTAAGAAGTGACGAAGACTTGATCAAACCCAACGGCTCTTTTAAGAGCCACCCACGGTTTCGCTTAAGGAGCTTTTAAGTGCTGTGTATGAATGAAAACGGCTTTACTTCGTAGGTGGGAGAATGTTCGCTGGAGCTAAATTTCCGTATTAAGTTTTCTGTGCAATTTTTTGCTATGTCGTAGTTTCTTTCACACATTGGTAAAATAAACTGCGGAGGAAACACACATACATGCATATATATATGCATTATATAATCATGAGACAGATTTGTACGCACAAGAAAAGCTCTGTACGCACAAACCTTTTTGATGTTCTGTGTGCGTTGGTGTATTTGAAGGCCTTTCAGAGGAGTCAGAAGATGGTGTGGGTGGGATGAATGGAGAGCTCTGAAACAAATGAGTAAGAAGTAGGTAATAATAATGAATAAGGTTTTGGTGCATGTCCCGCAGTAGCTGTAGTTAGTAGAGCTTGTTTTTCCTTCGCACTGCATATAAAAACACCATTACTAATCAAAGGCGAAATTATAGGAAAGCGCCGGGCTCGACATTATAATCGAGTTTTGCATTTACATGGATGAAAACAGGAGCGGGAACACGTTTCTTTATTTCTCTCTCTCACACACACACTGGAGGCAGCACGAAAGGGAGGAGGAGAAGCGGGGGGCTTGGTAATGAACAGTGGGCGGACCTTAGAGTTTCACGGCGCTAATGGGATTGGTTGTTGGAGGTCGTCGCATTTCAGCCAATAGAAAAGCAGCGGATCTGCCTATAAGAAGGGCGCTCGGAGACTCGGAGATTCTTTATTTCAATTTAGTTTGGAAAAATTGATAGAAGCGTAAAATGAGCGGAAGAGGCTGGACTCTGCTGGACTTTTAATCAATGCTACATCATTCTGAATGTAAATAATTGAACTGTGTAAAACTGAATTGTAGAAATGTTGATAAATGTGTGTTTTGTATTTTTGTACTCTGTATTTGAAAATGTGTTTGTACTGACATAATTCCTCAATAAAGTTTGTTATAAAAAGCAAAACCGGCGGGACGGCTAGAGGCTAGAGCCAAGGCCAAGACTCGCTCCTCCCGCGCTGGGCTGCAGTTCCCTGTGGGCCGTGTTCACAGACTTCTTCGTAAAGGTAATTATGCCGAGCGCGTCGGCGCTCCCGTCTATTTGGCCGCCGTGCTGGAGTATCTGACTGCTGAGATCCTCGAGTTGGCCGGAAACGCCGCTCGCGACAACAAGAAGACCCGTATCATTCCTCGTCACCTGCAGCTGGCCGTTCGTAACGACGAGGAGCTCAACAAGCTGCTCGGAGGAGTCACCATCGCTCAGGGTGGCGTTCTGCCCAACATTCAGGCCGTCCTGCTGCCCAAGAAGACCGAGAAGGCGGCCAAGACCAAGTAAACTGGCGTTTTTCTGTGATTTACATAACCAAAAGGCTCTTTTAAGAGCCGCCCACCTCCGCGCCAAAAGTGCGGGTTTTTTTGTTTACTTCCTGTCACTAAAAACAAAAGACTAAGCATCACATGTCCCGTGATTATAAACTGGAAAAGGTTTGGAAGTTCCTATTGTACAAAAAAAGTGAATGAAACACAGGAACGTCTGTATGATGGCGCGGTTTAATGTGAAATAACAGATAAAGAATTAAGAAAAAAAGTTACACACCACGTGTAAGGAAGAAAAAACAGTGCTTATTAGACCCGCTATAATGCAGAAACCCGACACAGCGCTGGGGCGTCTTGTAGTTTGAAATTGTTGGCACGGCTGAAGACGCCCAATAGCGTTTAACTGACGCGTGGACGGCCGTCCAATGGGAGGCGGGAACATTTAAGACGCCCAGTGGGCGGAGAGCAGCTGCAGTGCTTAAAAGAGCCGTGATGGCGGCGCGAGTTCATTCGTTTTCTTTAGAAAAGAAGAGCTGAGCTCGACGCCATGGCAAGAACAAAGCAGGCCGCTCACAAGTTACTCAAACATCCGAAATATCCACCTGTTTCAGTCCAACACTGTGAGTTTTCTAGCATCCCCCGAGTGCTCCTAAGTGCTGTGATGTAATATATTTATTACCAAATGTTCCTGAGCAATTTCTGAATCTGTCCAAGTGACTACATATATGGAAAGGGAGATGTTTTATATGATCAAACAAAAATCTTCATATATTTGTCTATGTAGGTATTCACATACATATTTATACGTTTTTATATGTAGTTTAAGCAAATAGGGTATAATTACATGCAGTAACAAGGCATGAGGATGTGATGTGAAAGGGAAGCCCCCTTTTTATTATGAGAAAAATGTTGGTGTCTTTTTTTGCCTTCATTCCTTTAAGTGCTCATTTGAATTTATGAGTATAAGTCACTGTGTGTGCATATGCATATTTGTATTAACAATTAGAGCAGTTTACCTCCTTTTCATGCTCTTGTGTGTGTGTGTTTATCCATTTAAAGGCCATGCAGAGTGGAGTCAGAAGAGACTTACGTTGTGTATGTTTGTTATAGAACTAAATAAACTATATATATATACATACACCCATCATCTAAACCACTTATCCTTCTGGGTCGCGGTGGGGTGCTGGAGAGTAAGTTCAGCCAGTTCTTAGGCTGGTGAATTTAGAGCATCATTTAACCTAATCAGTGCTGAAACCTGTTATTTATTTCTCTCTCCCAGTAGCAGTTCCTTGACTCTCCACACCTGATCCAGCTCATCAAGTGATTATGAACTGGATCAGGTGTGGTGGAGCAGGGAAGAGTTGGAATACTGTGTAGTGTGGTGTGTTGACAAAAGCAGAATTAAGAAACCCTGAGGTAGGCCTCAGGACTAAAGCATGGATTTAGACTTGTGATAAGGTTAGACTGTAATAAAAGTAGTTCTACATCTAGACATCAGGTTAATGAAGAAGGTAAAATGAGTCAAAGTAAGTTTGTAGCTAAACTTTAGGCTTTTGATGAAGCTTCAGGAAGTATGAACAGATATGTATCAAGGCCCCAGGTTTCTGTTTTATTTCGACAAAGTAAAAGTGCATCTATAGAAAGATTGTAGGTTTGCGATGAATTAAGTAAATTGATGATTGAGTAGCATTTAGGGCAACAGTTAGAGTCGTGTTAATGTCAGAGTGAGTAGAAGTGAGTTTACAGCCAGGCCAGAGACGTATGGTGAAATGAGAGTAAGTACAAATAGGTTAGAAGCCAGGCTTTAGCTCTGTGCTGTAGAGCCAGGCACTAGGCTCGTGATGTAGTTAGAGTAGCTAAAATTAGTCCTTAGGCTAATGATAAAGTGTCACTGAGTACAGGTAGGTTAAGAGGTAAGCCTTATGTTTGAGTAAGAAAAAGTAGTTTACATAGGTTTATCACTAAACCTTTGTCTTAAAAATTAGTCAGAGTAAGTCAATGTATTCTTTGGAGCTAGGCCTCAGGCTAAAGATGGTGTTAGTGTAAGAAAGTTATTGGTCAGTCAGGTTCATGATGAAGTAAGCATTTTTATATTTACACATAGCCTCAGGCTAATGGTAAAGTTACAGTGGGTACAGGTAGGTTTAAAGCTGGGCCTTAGGTGCCTGATGAAGTTAGAGTGAGCAAAAGGAGGCTAATAGCTGGGCCTCAAACTTCTACTGTGGTTATAGTGTGTAGTAATAGATGCAGGGCTGAACTATAGGGTTATTGTGTAGTTAGATCTAGACCATGGGGGCATGAAGAGGTTAGAGAAAGTAGAAGGACTTGGGCTTATGATAAAGTCAGAGTAGGCAAAAATGGGCATCCATCTAGGCCCCAGGCTTATGCTGATGTTAAAGCATTTAAAAACAGGTGAATAGCTAGGGCTTTGGTGTTGCTAGCATTAATGAATTGGGGTGGAGAAGAAGCTATTAGGCCAACAGTGAAGTTCTGATGAGAAAGTAAAAGTAGGTACAGGTCAAGGTCTTATGCTCATGAGAATGTTAGAAAAAGCAAAGGTTGGCTTACTGCAAAGTCCCAGGCCTTAATGTAGTGAAATGAGGAAGCCTGAGGCCTAGCTGTGAGGCTACTTTTGCTTACTCGAACTTTATCATAAGCCTTATGTCTTGCTATGTACCTCCTTCAATTCAGTCTAACTGCATCATGAGACTGAGGACTAGCTCTAAATCTATTTGTATTTACTATAAGTCTACAGTGGAGTTGCTAAAGTTAAAGTTGGTGAATAATAAGTTAATAGCAAATAGGAACATAGCAAGACATCATGCTTATGATGAAGCTATGATGAGAAAGTAGAAGATGCTACAGAAGTGTTCCCTAAGCTTATGATGAAGTTAGAGTGAGCAAAACTATGTTTAGAGATGTGTTTTGAAGTTAGAGAAAGTAAAGGTGAGTTTATAGTGAGGCATCTGGCATATGATGAGGATGAGTTGGTAGGTACATGGGGTTAGATACATAAAAGTAGGTATAGAGCTAAGCTGTATATTGCTGCTCTGGTTGCTACCTCAGTGACTGCTATGCTTATATATGCTAGGCTATCTGCTAATATGTCATAGTATGTTACATCCTCCTTCGTACAGCTCCACATACTCTCAGTACCATTTACTGCCGGAGTCCTGTTTTTTTTTGTTGTTTTTTTTTGATTGTCTTTCGTATTTATTTATTGCACTGTATTGTCTGCACTGTGTTTATTGTATTGTTTCGCACTTGTTCTTGTATTGGTCCTGGAGGAATCTTTTTTTTTTGTTCGTTTCACTGTGTACTTTGTACATAGCTGAAATAACAAAGCCTGACTTGACTTGATGTTTTAAGCTTATTGTATGCTTGGAATTGGTGAAAGTAGGCTTAGAGCTACTCATCAGGCTTGTAATGCAGACAGATTTAGGAGGTTAAGAGCTAAGTAAGGTTTATGATGAAGCATGTAAAATAAGGTGCAGAAAAAGCCATTAAGCTGAGGATAAAGTTACAGTAAACGAAAGGAGGATGGCAGCTATGCCTCAGGCCTATAATGTAGGTTTAATGCTAGGCCGTTGGCTTATGGTGAAGTGAGTAATAGTGGGTACAGGGCTGAGCTTTAGGCAGATAATCTAGTGAGATAAGCAACAGGATCCTTACAGCTAGGCATCTGATGTAGTCAAACACATAATTGGTTTAGAGCAAAGCCTTATCCTTATGAAGAAGTTAGACTAAATAGTAATAACTAGCTCTCTAACTACTGTCACATACCCTATCTTACAGGTAGAGTAAGTAACAGTAGATATAGTGCCAGTCCTTTGGTTTATGTTGGAGTTGGTGAGTGAAAAGACATCTATAGCATGCAATTAGACTTATGAAGTTGGAGAAATGAAAGTAGTTACAAAGATAATCTTTCAGCTGATGATGTAGTCTGAGTAAGCCAAAAATTAGCTTTTCAGCTGAGCTTGTGGCTCATAATGTAGAAAGAGTAAGTAATATTAGGTTTAGAGATAGGCCTTAAGTTAATAGTGAAGTTGGAGAATGTTGAGGTAGGTTTAGGACAAGTTCTTTGGCTTATGATGAAGTCTGAGTAAACAAAAGGAGGCTTCCAGCAAGGCCTCAGGCTTATATCGTAGGGTTAGACCTGGGCCCTAGGGCTGTGGTAAAGTTAGAGCGAGTAACTATAGTGCTACAATTAATGAATGTCAAGGTGAGCTTAGGGCAGGGCTTCAGGCTGGTGATGGAGTAACAGGGAGTGAAGTGTGATCTAAAGCATTCCATTATACTTATTATGAGGCTGGAGAATTAATCAAGCACTGAGCTAGGCTTTAGCTCATGTTGTAATTAGAGCAGGCCAAATTAGCCTTACAGCCAGACCTCGGGCTTATCATGTAGTTAAAGTATGTAATATTAGATTTAGAGCTCGGCCTTGGGTTTATGGTGAAGTTAGCTAAAGTGAAAGTAGATTTCGGCTAAGACCGTTGACTTTTGCTGAGGTCATAGTAAGCAAAAGCATGTCTACAGTTAAGCCTATAATAGAAGGATTTGGGCAAGAGCTCAGGCTAATGATGAAGTTAGGGTGAGTGAAGGGAGATATTTAGAATGTCATTAGGCTTGTGAATAATTTAGAATGACAAATGTTAGTTTGGAACTGGGCCTTAGGCTCATATAGCTGGAGTATTTCACAGCTAGTTCCATCTAGGTTTGTGATGATTTTTTGTTCTAGTAATGTTAGAAGGGGTTTAGTAATGGAGAAGTTCGGGTAAAGCTAATTAGAGTTAGAACGAGTTTGTGAATATTTCTAACTAGTCTTGTCTAAGTTTATTTATATAACAGCACATCAGCAGAGATCAGGCTCGCCGCCGGCCTACCCGTGTGCTTTACTCGCTTAAAGAAAGCTCGTTTTACCCATAATCATCGGGGCGCTCGGCCAGTCGGAGTTCGCCCACGCATTCGCCGAGGCTCTCCCCGAACGCACCGTTGAGCTCTCTGAAGGCTCGCGCCGCCGTTTGCCACCGTTTATCACAGATTATTGCGCTAAATACACCGCATATCGTTCGGAGCGGGTGGCGCGCAGCGCACTTTTAAGAGCGCCCTGCGAAACGAGGCGTCGCTGCGCGCTCAGTCCCGGACTTAGGAAACACGGCAGAGTCTCTTCTAGAGGATCGAGCCGTTGGACGCTCTCCAGGTGCCGCTTTCGCTTGTATTTTGGCCGACAAATGTCACGAGAAAACACAAGCGCGAGCGCGTCACTGAGGCACGGCTGCACAGCGCCCGCCGGGTTGAGTCTACGCCGTTCTCATGTGGCTTTTAAGGGGCCGGCCCGTCGCCGGAGAGGGAGGTTCCTCTGAACGGTGCAGCTCGCGTTCATTCTCGCTCCGTTCGCAGCAAAAGCAGAACGATGGCAGAAGCCGCTCCCGCTCCAGCCGCCGCCGCGCCGGCCAAAGCTCCCAAGAAGAAAAGCGCCGCCCGGCCCAAGAAAGCCGGGCCCAGCGTCGGCGAGCTCATCGTCAAGGCTGTTTCTCAGTCTAAGGAGAGGAGCGGCGTGTCTCTCGCCGCCCTCAAGAAGGCTCTGGCTGCCGGCGGCTACGACTTGGACAAGAACAACTCCCGCGTCAAGATCGCCGTCAAGAGTCTCGTGACGAAGGGCACTCTGGTGCAGACCAAAGGCACCGGCGCCTCCGGCTCCTTCAAACTCAACAAGAAACAAGCCGAGCCCAAGAAGAAGCCGGCAAAGAAAGCGGCGCCCAAAGCCAAGAAGGCGGCCGCCAAAAAGCCCGCCGTTGCTAAGAAGCCCAAGAAGGTAGCGGCGAAGAAGCCCGCGGCCGCTAAGAAATCGCCGAAGAAAGCCAAAAAACCGGTGGCGGCCAAGAAAGTCGCCAAGTCTCCCAAGAAAGCCAAGAAGCCGGCGGCCCCGAAGAAGGCGGCCAAGAGCCCGAAGAAAGCGAAGGCGGTCAAACCCAAAGCGGCGAAAAAGGCCGCCCCCAAAAAAAAGTAGACGCGCCGTTTTACCTTCCTGTCCTGTTTTCTCCGCTCAAAAACGGCTCTTTTAAGAGCCACACCCACATTTTCCTCTCAAAGAGCTCGGTTTTCATTTTCCCTACACAAAGTCTTAATTACTGAATAGTCATATAAGAAAATACCAGACTCGACACAATAATCGAGCTGTTATTTGTATACATGGATGAGAATTAGAGGGGGGGCGGGGGGGTTAGGACAGGCGGCAACACGGAGGGGAGGGGGAGAAGCGGGGTCAGTGGACAAGGACTGTGGGCGGGCCGAGTTTGACGGTGCTAATACGATTGGTTGTTGCGTTTCAGCCAATAGAATCGCAGCCGCTTTAGCTATAAGAAGCGCGCTCGGAGACCGGAACTCATTATTTCAGCTTAGTTTGGTGAAATTGATAGAAGCATAAAATGAGTGGAAGAGGCAAAACCGGTGGTAAAGCTAGGGCGAAGGCCAAGACTCGCTCCTCCCGCGCTGGGCTGCAGTTCCCTGTGGGCCGTGTTCACAGGCTTCTTCGTAAAGGTAACTATGCCGAGCGCGTCGGCGCCGGCGCTCCCGTCTACTTGGCCGCCGTGCTGGAGTATCTGACCGCTGAGATCCTCGAGTTGGCCGGAAACGCCGCTCGCGACAACAAGAAGACCCGTATCATCCCTCGTCATCTGCAGCTGGCCGTTCGTAACGACGAGGAGCTCAACAAACTGCTCGGAGGAGTCACCATCGCTCAGGGTGGCGTTCTGCCCAACATTCAGGCCGTCCTGCTGCCCAAGAAGACCGAGAAGGCGGCCAAGACCAAGTAAACTGGTGTTTTTCTGTGATTTCTGCGTATTCAAAGGCTCTTTTAAGAGCCGCCCACCTCCGCGACGAAAGTGCAGTTTTTCTTTACTTTCTACCACCAAAAAGAAGTGCGGTCGTACATTGCAGTAAAACAAAAGACAAAGCATCACATGTCCCGCGATTGTATAGTGAAAAAGGTTTGGAAGTTCTTGCTGTAAAAAATATGAAGTGAATAGAAACATAGGGACGTGTGTATGATGGCGCGGGTTAAGGTAAAATAACATGGATAAAGAAAAAAGTCAGAATAACGTCACACCACGTGTAAGGAAGAAAAATAATGATAATTAGACCGGCTGTAATGCAGAAGCCCGACACAGCGCTGGGGCGTCTTGAAAATGTTGGCGCGACAGAAGACGCCCAATAGCGTTTAACTGACGCATGGACGGCCGTGCAATGGGAGGCGGGAACATCCAAGACGCCCAGTGGGCGGAGAGCAGCTCGAGTGTTTAAAAGAGCCGTGATCGCCGCGCGAGTTTATTCTTTTTCTTTAGAAAAGAAGAGCTGAGCTCGACGCCATGGCAAGAACCAAGCAGACCGCCCGTAAGTCCACCGGGGGTAAAGCCCCGAGGAAGCAGCTGGCTACCAAGGCTGCTCGTAAGAGCGCTCCGGCCACCGGCGGCGTCAAGAAGCCTCACCGTTACAGGCCCGGTACCGTGGCTCTCAGGGAGATCCGCCGCTACCAGAAATCCACAGAGCTGCTCATCCGCAAGCTGCCCTTCCAGCGCCTGGTGCGGGAGATCGCTCAGGACTTCAAGACCGATCTCCGCTTCCAGAGCTCTGCCGTCATGGCCCTGCAGGAGGCTAGCGAGGCGTACTTGGTGGGTCTGTTCGAGGACACTAATCTGTGCGCCATCCACGCCAAGAGAGTCACCATCATGCCTAAGGACATCCAGCTGGCCCGCCGGATCCGCGGAGAGCGCGCTTAGATTAAACGGAGCGACCACAAGTTACTCAAACACCCCAAAGGCTCTTTTAAGAGCCGCCGAACTGTTTCAGGCCAAAAGAGCGAGTTTTCTAGCGAACTCCGAGTTCTTATAATATTATGTTGTGACGTATCTCATAGAGGAGCCCGCGAGCGCTTCAGAAAGCCAGCATTGTAGTTTAATTATTAATTATTGATATTTAATCAAAGACCAGCTCTGGGGTTTTGGGCTGAGGGCGGTTTGGCATCGATGGAGCTTGGTCGCCACCATGTGGTCAAAATGTGAACCTGCAAGTAGCAGAATAAGAGGTACTTTGGTAAAATGTGGAAATATTGTGTTACTGAGTGACTTTGTGGATTACTGTTTGTGACGCTCCGTAAATAAAATGATAATAATTTTAGAGTAATTACAGCAACAGAACCACATCATTTCATGAAGTTCAGCATTTACAATAAGGAGTTTTTTTCTGCTACATCTCTCTGTATCGGTTGGGTGCAGTGGGTCCCGGCCGGGTGACCAGGGTCGTTTCTGTGTGGAGTTTGCATGTTCTCCTCGGGTCTGCGTGGGTTTCCTCCGGGGACTCCGGTTTCCTCCCACAGTCCAAAGACATGCAGTCAGGCCAATTGGACATGCTAAATTGCCCCTAGGTGTGAGTGTGTGTGAATGTGTCGAAGGCGACCTGTCCAGGGTGTGTTCTGCCTTCCCCTCAATGACAGCTGGGATAATTTATGAGGTGGTAGAGCTTTTAATCTCCCCCCCCCAGGCAGCCACCAACACTTGAGCCCTGCCCTTAGCTGATGCTGGTCAGTGTAGTTTTTTCTTTGTTTTAATAAAGGAGTAAAGTTGATTCTACTTCTTTTTTATAAGATTATTCTTTTCCACTTTTGATGTTTAAAGCGAGACCTGTTGTTTGTGGAAATGAAGCTTGAAGAAAGACTTTCTTCTGTCCTTTGGTTTAAATGATCAATTAGATATTTTTATTGAGGCTCGTTCTTGTTTCATATATAAAAAAGAGAAAGTATATAAATAAGTTTGCGCCACAGATTGTTTCTCAGAACTTTGGTCACTCTTTTGGTCACACTTTCTTTCATTTCTCTCGGTTCTTTTTTTCTTATTTACGTTGGACAATTTTTGACGTTTTGTCTTTTAATGACATGAGATTTAAAAGGCTGTGGAACACTGATAATGACGGTGGAGCCCTGAGGACGTTTCTGTGGGCTGTGCTTGAATATATATTGAGTTAAATCGTATTTGATTTGCTGAATCTAGTTGTCAATCATTGCTCGGTTTTGTTCATTGGCTCTGTGTCTGAGGGGGCGGAGACTGCGTGAGGAGAGGGGGAGAGAGAGAGAAGGGGGGGCGGAAGTGCAGCGCAGGTGCTCCGTGCTGGGCTGTGACGTAAAGCCGTTATATTTATATTTCTGTGTCCAGTCGGAAGTTCGAGGTTGTCGAGCTGAGAACTTTTACTGGCCGACACGACGGAAGATCACGAGCCCCGAGAAACTCCCCCTCGAAGTGAACGGTTTGGTCTCGAGGCGCAGCTGGTTAGAATAGCGTTAGCATGAGCATCGGAGCCGACTGCCTAACAACAGACTCACCCGGAGTTCGGTCTCCCAGTGACCGTAAACAAGCAGGACTCGGTCACCGTTCCCGTTCACACTCCCAGCCCGGGAACGCCCAGATAGCGGTCTGAACTACCGGGAATGTTCAGATCTCCTCTGGCAACGTTGGACGCCCCCCATGCTGAGGTGGAGTCAGACAGCCTCACTGCTGTTCGCCCATCCTGGACTTTGAGTGGGTCAGGTGTGTTTTCCCTGCGTTAAGCGCGCGAAGCGGCCAGGTAGTTTGAGTCCACACCGAACACAAGCAGCGGTTCGGGCCGCAACGCAAGTACATAAAATAAACAAACAAAACCGAGCGGAACCGCATATTATTTGAGTTTATACCGGTGAACTTCCACAGTTCCACAGTGTTTCGTTCTGGTGCTACATGAGTGTTTGTGGGCCCACAGCAGTGATGTAATCTCTCTCTCTCACACACACTGGAGGCAGCACGAAAGGGAGGAGGAGAAGCGGGGGGCTTAGTAATGAACAGTGGGCGGACCTTAGAGTTTCACGGCGCTAATGGGATTGGTTGTTGGAGG